AAAGGCTTTACCACATTGATTACATTCATAGGGTTTCTCTCCAGTATGAATTCTTTCATGACATTGAAGAGAAATCTTATGTGCAAAGGTTTTACCACATTGATTACATTTATATGGTTTCTCTCCAGTATGAATTCTTTCATGACCTAGAAGGTTATTCTTCTGTACAAAGGCTTTACCACATTGATTATATTTATAGGGTTTCTCGCCAGTATGAATTCTTTCATGGTTGAGAAGATAACTCTTCATTGCAAAGGCTTTACCACAATGATTACATTCATGCGGTTTCTCTCCAGTATGAATTCTTTCATGACTTTCAAGATGACTCTTCCATGCAAAGGCTTTACCACATTGATCACATTCATATGGTTTCTCTCCAGTATGAATTCTTTCATGACTTTGAAGATTATTCTTTTGTGCAAATGTTTTACCACATTCATTACACTCATAGAGTTTCTTTCCAGTATGAATTCGTTCATGACTGTGAAGACTATTCTTTCTTGTAAAGGCTTTAACACGTTGATTATATAAATAGGGTTTCTCTCTTGTATGAAATCTTTCATGACTGTTAAGATTTCTTGTCTCTGCAAAGGCTTTATTACATTGATTATATTCATATGGTTTCTCTCCAGTATGAATTCTTTCATGTCTGTGATGATCACTCATCTGTACAAAGTCTTTACTACATTGATTACATTCACAGCATTTCTCTGGAGTTTGAATTCTCTGTACTTGATGTGGAAGACTGTCATATGCAAAGGCTTTATTCCTTTGATTATACTCATAGGGTTTTCCTTCCAAATGAGTTTTTTGGTGTTCTTTTAAAGAGCAATCAGATATAAAGGGTTTATCATGTTGATTACATTCATGGAGAGCCTCTTCGTTATTGGTTCTTTGGTGTGATTGACGATGCCTGTCAAGCCTAAAGCCTTTAGTAGATGACTCACATTTATTATTTTCTCTTCCCACATGAGATTTTTCACATCTATGAACATAACTTGAAGAACTCAGTGTCTGACCAGACTGATTGCATTTATAACATTTTCTTATACTGTGAGCCACACTACATATGCACATTGAACCAGTAGAGAGAGATGAATTTCCATATTCCTGGACTCATTAGGTTTTTCTCCAATGAGAGTTTGTTGGTGAATTCCCACTGAAGTTGGAAAACCAAGTAATTGTAAATTTATATCACAGTCATCACGTCTTCTCATAGTGGGGACTACCACATATCTTCCATTTGTTCTGAGAGTGCCAGAAGTACAATGCTTCTTTCCATAACCATTATGCCCCCATGGATTGTATCCAGAGTGACAGATGACACACCTGGGAAAGGAAGATAAAAAAATAAAGGGTTTTCACATTGCATTCTCATAGTCGAATATTTTGTGTGTTATACAGATGCGGAATAGAGATTCGTGTTTCTACACCAAGACAACCTCCTGCAATCTCATACAGTGCTTCACTCACTAAACTATGCTAAATCACTCACTACAAGTATATGAGCAACGCTAGCTTTAATACCAAAGGTTTGCTTACAAAAGGTCTTGGCCATACACTAATCCCTCATAAATGATATGATAATCGGAAGGCATGATGGTAATTGGTTGGACAGTTCTACAGCATCCCTGTTACATGGCTATGATTGAAACTGACATCTATTATGGCATTGTTTCCTTGTCTTGTCCTTAAAGGAATGCTTTGAAAACAGTTATCAGCTACCTGAATTGGAGTATATGGTATTGTGACAATTTAATAATCCTCACAAAGCTATGGCTATTTCCACAGTTGCTTTACATTAAAATTTCAGGACACATTAACATTTTTTCAAACTGTTTGAAATCTCCTGCTCAAGCAGCCCCATTGCAGAAAGCCCGCCATCCGTAGTTCCTCCCCCAGAGATATCTGGGACCATGCCTACTAGCTATTTAAGACCCAGTCCATACATCTGCCATGGGTGCTCTCATGATCTTTCTCCTGCTTTCCTGAGAGCCACCTGAGAGTGCTCTCCTTTGTGCTGTCCTGTTTGTTAAATCTGGGTTTATTAATTCAGTTTGCTTTGGCTTATTGCATCAGTGACAGAGGAACCCAGCAACCAGGGATTGTATACTTATCTTTGGTGCACTGGGCGGGGTTAGTAGTCCTTCCACAAACATGTGGTATGGCTATGGAAGGACATTCATTCTCTCTCCCCATTCCACTTTTACCACACGGAATGAACAGCTCAGTAAGCCTCCCATTCCCAAATAAAAATGTCTTAACAAGTCTGGGACTGGTAGACAGGCACGGCAGCGGCGATAAGCAGATGCAGGAAGGCCTGCAGAGGTGGTGGCAGAGACATAGATGCCCGGCAGCAGCCCGCAGAGACAGACAGGCCCGGTGGCAGCAACAGACAGAGGCAGGTAAGCCTGGCAGTGGCGGCGGCAGCCAGCAGGGTCCTACAGGCCTGGTGGCAGCCAGCAGAGATAGACAGGCCCAGTGGTGGCAACAGGCAGAGGCAGGTAAGCCCGTTGGCAGCAGCGGCGGCCAGCAGGAGCATACAGGCCCAGCAGCAGCCAGCAGAGACATACAGGCCTGACGGCGGCCTGCAGAGACAGACAAGCCCGGCAGAAGCAACAGGCAGAGGCAGGTAAGCCTGGCGGCAGCGGCAGCCAGCAGGGTCATACAGGCCCGGTGGCAGCCAGCAGAGATGGACAGGCCCGGCGGCAGCAACAGGCAGAGGCAGGTAAGCCCAGCGGCCGCAGCCAGCAGGTACATACAGGCCCGGCGGCAGCCAGCAGAAACATACAGGCCTGACGGTAGCCTGCAGAAACAGACAGGCCCATCGGCGGCAACAGGCAGAGGCAGGTAGGCCCACAGCGGAGGCAGCAGAGACATACAGGCCTGGCGGCGGCCCGCAAAAGTAGACAGGCCCAGCGGCAGCGGCCGACAGGGACATACAGGCCCAGCGGCAGCCGGCAGAGACTTACAGGCCCGGCAGCGGCCCACAGAGGTAGACAGGTACAGCAGTGGCAACAAGCAGAGGCAGGTAGACCTGCAGCAGCAGCGGCAGAAACATACAGGCCTAGTGGTGGCAACAGGCAGAGGCAGATAAGCCCGGCAGTGGCAGCCGGCAGGGACATACAGGCCCGGAGGCAGCCAGCAGAGACATACAGGCCCGGCGGCAGAGACAAGCAGACGCAGGTAGGCCCACGGTGGCAGCCAGCAGAGGTATACTGGCCCGGCAGAGGCAGGCTGGCTCGGAGCGGAGGCAGGCAGGCACAGCAGGCGGCGGCCGAAACACAATTGCAATAAAGACCAGAAACTGAGCTATTACCCACTGAAGAGCTAGTGAAAACAAACTCTTAATCAAAACCTTGGAACAGGGATGCCTCTAACCCGGGGAAGAAGCTATCTCCGTGTGACAGAACCAGAACGAATATGAACACTCCATCTGAGGCCAACCCAGGGCCAAGCTGCTGATCCTGCAAAACCCAACAACTTGGAGGTGTTGGTGAGACTACCCCGCTCAGCTGAAATCCATCCAGGAGAGGATTCACAGCCCTACAGTTTGAAGTCTGAAGAAACAAGATCAGCTGAGGAGTTGACGAATGAACACAACGTGATCTGGGAACACAGAAGAAGGCGCTGCCCAGCCACCAAACCAGAATCATGTGTATATAGTTCACCGACTGAGATCCTCTGCTACTGAAGAAACAACCCAATAGCACCAATTTAACCAAGAACTCCTACTGAACCAAGACTAAAAATTAGAACAAGAGGCACTCTCAGACACAGACACCAACTGCACCGAGCAGAGTAAGAGATGAGTAGAAGCCAGTGCAAAAATACACGCAAAAACATAAAGACCTATATGGCAACATCAGAACGTAGTGATTCTAAACCTGCAAGACCTGAACATACCAAGACAGAAGAAACAGAAGAAATCAACCCTAAAAAATTACTTAAAGAAGATGATAGAGGCCCTTAAAGAAGAACAAAAACATTCCCTTAAAGAGGAAATAAAAACTTGCCTTAAAGAGGAAATAAAAACTTTCCTTAAAGAGGAAATGAAAAACTACATTAAAGAGGAAATAAAAAACTCCCTTAATGAAATGGAAGAAAAAATGAACAAAAAATGGGAAGGAATCAAAGAAACCAAGAAAAAGCAATTAAACAGATGAAAGAAACATTCCAAGATCTGAAAAATGAATTTGAGACAATAAAGAAAACACATGCTGAGGGAATACTGGAAACAGAAACCCTGACTAAACGAGCAGGAACTACAGAAACAAGCATAACCAACCAATTGCAAGAGATGGAACAGAGAATCTCTGACACTGAAGACACAATAGAGAAAATAGATTTGTCAGTCAAAGAAAACACTAAAGACAAAAAAAGTTGTAACACAAAACATCCAAGAAATTTGGGACACCATGAAAAGACCAAACCTAAGAATA